AGTTACCGACACTACACACCAAAACTTCTGATAACATATATCTTTTGATGGAAGACTGAATACGACAACATCCACAGGTGATAAACGTTCATATATCGCTAGAGGATGGTATTACCACTCCTTTGAAAATGGGGAGACCTGATTTGTAACATTGTTATATAATGCGAGTTTCGCACACGTCTGATAGGGTGTGTCTTATTTTCCAACAGGAGGTGTGTTCGGTTTGTATGATGGAAGAATGGACCCGTTAGTAACTCGCCCTGCACTGGGTATAAATGATGTTGTCTGCTGGGAAAGTGCGAATGATCCCATGCCATTCTGAGGCTGACTGGTTCGCAGTTGTCTCTCTTATTTGAGATATTTAGGTAGTGCTCGAGAGGTCCGCGTGTAAAAAGATTTTTGTTTGTTTCTCATCGTTCCCTTTGTTAATGTAGTGCTAATCTCTCGCGAAACCCTCGGCCGCGCAAGAAAGACTGGGAGCTAGTAAATTTTAAGATGGTAAGCAAAAAAGGTCAGTCAAGACATGCCTACGTTTTTTTTGGGCGTCATCCAGCAAAATTGGCCACGAAAGAGGAGATAACAGCATTGCATGGACTCCTCCAACCATCAGAGGGAAAAAGTCTTTGACCAAGTTCTCGTGAGTTTACATATCGAAGACGAACACAACAAATTATTGGACTGGAAAAAAATGTTAAAGCCTTTGAAAATATATTCGTGTAAAACTATAAAGATTTAAAATTTTGAATTTTTTGTTTGATTTATAACATATCTTTGATTTTAGACTAATAAAAGGTCACGTTATATCCGCTTTTCAGTATAACAAGTTCTATTTTTGGATCAAATTTGACAAGCAAATTTTGGTGAGTTTTGCAATTGCTTGGGGCAATATTTGGATTCCAAGTTTTGTTTTCTGCCCAACGAGGATTTCGACAAAATTGATGTCTCTGAATCAAAGGGCAATCAGATGGGCATCGGGTACGTTCGAAGAAAAGTTTCCCGTTGATTGGATCCATATTGTTGAAGACCTTTTTTACAGTTCCGTGGCTCTGTGTCAATTAAATTGTGAACAATTCACCTTCATAAACTTTGCCCGCCTCGTGTTGATTGCGTTCGCAGTGTTTTACGTGAACATCGTCGGTGCAATGAGGCTAAGGACCGCTTCCATGCAGGTTGAAAGCTGACTTCTTTGAATAAATGTGTATCTCCAACCCTAAGTTTATCATCTTTCGATGACCAGCGAGGATTGTGTAGTCGTAATAATGGCCTCGCCAATTTATACCGGTCAAGATCCCAACCGATGTAGCAAAAACCATCGTTTATTCGTGCCTTCGCAACAATCAGCAATTTCAGGAAAACCTTGCGCAAACCGCTTGAATCCATTATTTAGAGATTTTAATCCCTACAATGCACCGATACTTTCGATCGATCTGTTACATAGGAAGGCTTTTGATTGCTTTCATGCTAATCCGTTTCTTCCAAACGGTCTCTCTCGTGAATCGGTCCATAATTTTTGTTAGGGAGGATCTCACAGAACTTCATCCCGACAAGAATGCTTTATTTGCTTTTCACTTCGTTGCAGTCCGCTTTTACACGCATGGATTCTGAATTCTGGCGTTTTAAAAACCAGAATGAAATTTCTCAATCTCCAGGAGAACAACTCGCTCGGAGTGATTTGCAAAACAAATAGTCGCTTGTTCAAGTTCGCAGAAAAACATCAGCCGTGAATTTTCCAGAAAATTCTTTCGAAGTGTTGTGAATCTTTTATCATGGAAATTACTTACGATGGCATGCATGCGTGACTTGTGTATTCGACATGAACTGATTCACGGTACGTTGTTGTCTGAGAGCATTTCCACCTTGCGATTATACTTTGGTACACAGTGGCTCTGGTAGATGAAAGGTGAGAAATTTTTTTTAATATTCGAGCCTTAAAGGAAACATTTTATCTTTGTTTTACTTGGCTCTGTTATTGTTAAACTTAAGCTGGAGTCCAATACACCTATGATCACACTGTACATTAAAGCTTACTGATTTATTATGCGAATATCGACCAGTGATATTCTGAGATTGAAACAGCCCTGTGCGACCATTATAGAGCACGTAGAAAAGGAAAAAGTAACATTTGATCTGTTTGATTTAACTGGAAGAATAACAGATGCTTGCTTTGAAATGTGCAAATGTACATACGGAAAAAATATCCTCGTGGCTAACATTAACTTCGGCCGTTCCTTTCTCGATCTGTTGTCGACTGATCAGCAAACGGGAAACAAGTTGGCTGTCAGTTTTCTCATTACTTTCAAATTGATTTTTTCTGGATGAACACGAAAAACGTGGACAAGGAATTTGAGAGGCATTCAAGTTTTGATCTTTGACACAACTGGATTAAGGGTTTCCTTTTCCAACTTTCCGCAAAGTTCTCTGTTTTGAGATTATTGCATGTTCAGTAAACGTTTAACTTTGGCTTCAGCTAGGGAACTTGATGATTTGAAACTTGAGGAGTGGAAACACAATTACTTTTTGTAAAGGATTCCTATCAGTTGAGTCATTTTGATGTCTATCGGATATCTTTGAATCATTTCGCAACAAGAAAGGTTTTGAAAACTTTTTGAGTCAGTCAGCCATGATACTTTGGTACACTCTGGCTCTGATAAATAAATTGTAAGAAAACTTGACTTATTAGACGAGCCTTAAATTACACCTTGTATAGCTGTTTTACTCAGTTCTGTCATTGTCCAACTTAAACTGGAGTTTTATACGCTTTAGATCATACTGTTCATTTGATTTAAGCTTGTTTATTGTACTATCATCAATTGTACTATCAGTGGTAAATTGAGATCGAATTAGCCTCATACGACCATTGTAGAGCACTTCGAAGAGCTAAAAGCAAAATTTTGTCTTTCTGATTCGATCGAACTCATGAACGTATGTTTGTTCTGAGAACGTGTTCGTATACAGTAAAAATTTCCTCGTGGCTGCCATTAATTTGGCAGTTCCTGTCACGATCTCTGGCTTCGCTCTGATTCTGTTTCTTAGCTATAGGACTCTAATCATTTGAGTCTTTATAATTCGTACTGGATGTCTCTGAATTACTTCGCAACGGGAAAAAGTTTTGGAAAGTGTGTAAGTCCGTCAGCCATGAATGACTTTGCGGTTTTTGAACTGACTTTTGCGACTGATATTTGATAAAGTCGGGAAGCTTTTGCAGAAATGCTGATTGCATGCTTCGACAAAGCTCTTTTTACTTTGACAGCAGCGACCAAATTTTCTTAACAGCTTTCCTGTGATCTTCACTAGCGACAACACCATGCTAATGTAGGAAACCGTAATTAGTTTTGAGGATGTTATGCTTACGAAACTGAAAGTAAGACTTTGCATTTCTCGATCTTCTACGCAGTCTGTAACTATTGTAAAAGAGACTTGCTTTTCAAGCAAAGGTTTTCTTCTCTAACTCTTGATTTATCGTTAGGTTTCGTAGTCTTCGACGCTTACTTTTAGTATTTTACTTTTAGGTACATAGCAAACTACGCATTTTGTGGGTAATCAGCCGAATTATATTTAAAAAGCATTGTCAGATAGTTTTCAAATAATGTCGCGCCAATTAATTCATCCTAAACGCGAAGGATAAAACAAAGTAAATTATTAAAGGGATGAGAAAATATAAGAGAGAGAATAATGGATTGCAGATGATCTCTTCAAGGATTCATCTTTGAGATTATAAAATGCAAACTCATGTGAAGTTATTTTTCTATGGTTCTGCCCAAATGATCATGAAAAATGACCTCCGGCGGATAATAATCTTCTAGAATACCAAACATAATTTAACGATAAAACTATCTGGTTTGAAAAGCAGGATCCTCTTGTGAGAAACGGCTACTTTCCCTATGAAATCAGTTTCCGCTTTCAGTCATACGTTTGGTAGTTGGACTTTCATTGTTCATACAGCAGAGTTAGCTCGGTAAGATGCAAATTGTAATCGTTTTGTTTCTAATTTTCATTGTCATCCAACGACCGTTCAACTATCACGCGATAGAAATCTCAAGCTCCTAATCTAACTGTTATAAACAGAGTTACATCTAAGAGGCAGAAGAGGCTTTCAGGAAGAGCTTAAACAAAAAGAAAGAAGAAAGAAAGAATTATAAAAGGGGCTTGGAGATCTGACTCGGGTATTTCATCATTAGATATTATTGTTGTCTGTGATATTTTCTTTGCTCCGCGTCCAAGGGAGCTTACACCCTTGCGAAGATTTGCCCGAGACATTATACCTTGGAAAATTTGCGGCAGAACACTAGCCGTGAATGTTCCCGAAAATGTTTTAGAGATTTTGTGAGTCTTTTATTATATCTTTGAATGCATGCATGAAGGATAATAAACACAATAACCTCTATTTGTTGTGAAAATATGCTTGTTTATTTGTCCTTGGACATTATCAGTCCCTCAAAGCTAACGGTTTCCCCCAAGCTTTGCTCTCGCAAATCCATTCTCATTTCAGAACAAAATAGTATTCGTGGGCATTGTTTATGCCAATTGGAGGCATTTCTTTCTGTTTTCCCCTGGTTATTAGCCGAGCGTATTCAATCACATGACGTTTTGAGACCAATCAAGTGTGAACAAATATATTTGGTGCGTCTTCTGCTGCCTCAGCAAAATTATGGATTTTTTTTACAAGTCTCCACTCTATTCCGTATTTCGTTGGTGGTTTGAGTGTTAATGTATTAAGTAAGACTCAAACTTCCAGGGATGTCAGCACAAAATTGAAGAAAATGTTCAAACTTAAGTTAATTACACCTATTTTGAATGACAATCTCTCCAAAGTACTGATAATTGTCTTTGAATGCTAAGACGTTCACAGAAATTTCAGATAAGTTTTAAATGTCTCCTCCCCTAGGTCGGGGAGACCTGGCAGTCAGGTATACTTTATGCAAGTCATCAAGTCATTTGGTGCATTTTTATTAATAATTATTTCCTTATGCTTCTTGTTAGGTACTGATACCTATGGAAATATGGATGATAGCTTTAAACTAGTTCTCAAGTTACAAACTCCTCTTGGAGGATTTCAGAGTATTTTGTTTCCTGCATCGCATCTGATCATTTTTGGCATTCTACAAAGCTATCATGCCAATGAGAGATTTGACTTCAACTGTGATCCCAAACCCAGTGATTTTATCAGACAACTTTGCTATGACAACTACATTTCCACAGTTACCAAGCCTCATGGGTTAATACCTCGGAACGTTGTTGCCATAACCTTCAGTGTTTTGTGTGCATGCTGGATCGGCTTTGCAATTTATGGTGTTGTGACCCTTCGAAAAAGACCAGGATGCAAGGAAAAAAACACAAAGAAATTTCTTCGCGCCTACTTCATCCATGTATTCTTTCGAATATTTTTCCTAAGTGTTATGTTAGGGCTGGTCTGCAGTTACCAAACAATTTTTTTACCTTCGGTTTTTAAGTGTGGTGTTAATGAGACCTTGCAGACCAACAGTCAAACCACGCCAAGTCCACTCAACCAGACAAAATTAAAACGGCAATGTAATGATCGTCATCACGAGGAGAAATCAAACCTAAACATAACTGTTATCTCTGTCGATGCCTTCTTTATGGTGCTCAGTATATTGGAAGTCCTGCACTTGTACCGTATCAGGGAAAACTATGTGCAAAAGTTGTTAGGAAACCTTGAAGACTTTGAGGTTCAAGAGTTACTGCAAAGTAAGTAAATATTTTATAGTTTAATTGCTAGCAAATTACCATAGGCAAAACACTGGTACAGAAATGTTAGTTAGCGATATAATTATGGCAATGACTAAACCAAAGAAAGAGATTTAGCATGAGCATATGGGAGACAACCCAAAAAAATTTATAGGAAGGGAGGGGGAAGTGTTTGTTTATATATTACACTTCATAATTCTAAACAACCTATTTTTGAGAGAGTCTTATTGGTACTGTTTGGTTCACGTGGTCAAATTCCATTACTGAGAGACCAAATGACGGTAAAAAAAGCAACAACTGGCGCTTGTCAATATTCCATTGACCCCTCGGCAAGAAATAGAAATTTCAATGAGTCACAACTTCCCCCTAATATCTAATAACCCTTTAATAACAGTGGAATAGTTGAAAATACAACGGAAGCAGCCTAGAGCTTGATAAAAAGAAGCAACAAAGGATGCTTCTGATGCTTTGCTGGTCCTCCTTGCCTACCGCACAACTTCTGCCCAAGGCCTTCAGACCAGCCCAGTAAAGTCGCTCTTGTGTCGATGAAATATGCAGGCCGGGAAGTATCTTTTGGCACCCAGAGTTGGAAATGGAAGATTAATCTATTACAAGGCTGCGTCCAAAAATAATAATTATCTAGGGATCAATTAAGGGCAGATGTTGGAATTTGAAGCTATGGGAGGAAATTTCGACGCAGTTGTGTTCACCCACGGAAATAAAGTGAAGCTTTAAGCTCTCGCTTAACAATTGCAGTGTGGCCATTTGACCTTTCCACTGAGGCGTTAACGACCCGACTTTACATCCTGCTGGGTGCGACCACAAAATCTAAGGTCTGATCTTTTTCTTGTTAAGAGGGTCACAAGTATACATCATAGAAATGTACTTGTATCTGTAATACCCGTTTGACTCTTTAATTGCTTCCCGTATGCAACAATCGACATCTGTTTACCCACCCGTGGGTGACATATTTTGTGAGATCTCCAGGGTTTCAGTGGCCCCTAAATTGGGGACTGGTACGAATCAGCCAGTGAGTCGAGTACGAATGACTCAAACTGGGTATAAATCGACTGAGCGCGAAACATCCACAGGTATGACAGACTAGGGAACGAGTTTTGTAGATCATCTATGTATGCTCAAAGGAAATAAAATTATTTAAAACGTCTATTTCAAGCTTACCACTTTTTTGGATCTGATATGTTAGGACCCGTTGCATTCCTATCACTCGTTGAAATTATTAAATTGACGTGTACTCGTGTTTTACGTGATTACAATGAGTATTTAGCATTTATCAAAGATGAAGTTTAATAGAAGCATAATTTTGAACATGTTTTCCAGAAAAACCAACCATCACAAACACAGAAGTAGAAGTTGACAAGAATTTCATTGTTACCTGGTCAGCACCTGAGGCCAGCAGCAGTAATCGCAGCATTAAATACCGTCTGGAATGTAGGAAACAATCCGTGACAGGATCCACAAAAGTCTTTCAACAAGGAGATATTGTTGAAACTCGCCACACGATAACTGGTCTTGAGTATGACACAGAGTACGAAGTGAAACTGTTCGCTGTCAGCGAACAAGGAGACAGTGAGCCAGATGTCAGAATATTTAAGACAAAGAGTGGTATGTACCTTTATTTAAGACTTCTCGCTTTACTTTTGGTAGAACTGTTTGAAATGAAATAAAAGAAACACTTTTGGGTTCTAAATACAGGCGTAACACTGCTTTTAAGGGGGGAGGATTGTGAAACTTTCTGACAACAGGTTTAATACTCATGCTGCGGCTCTCATATGAAAAAATTAATTATTTTGATAACATTTTTTTACTATCGTCATCTTTGATTTGGTCGTAAATTACATTGATAAGACTTGTTATTAATTTTTCATGTTAGAACGAGTTGTTCATCAGTGTTTTATTTACCTTTCTTATTATACCAATATGTTTAGTTTTAGTTAGAATAAGTATTTCACAGTTTTTAGAGACAAAGTGTAAAAGAAGTATCATTTTGAACAGGTTTACCTGAGAAACCAACCATCACAAATACAGAAACAGAAGTTGACAAGGATCTCATTGTTACCTGGTCAGAAGCTGAGGTCAACAGCAGTAATTGCAGCATTAAATACCGTCTGGAATGTAGGAAACAATTCATGACAGGATCCACAAAAGTCTTTCAACAAGGAGATATTGTTGAAACTCGCCACACGATAACTGGTCTTGAGTATGACACAAAGTACGAAGTAAAACTGTTCGCTGTCAACGAACAAGGAGACAGTGAGCCGGATGTCAGAACATTTAAGACAAAGAGTGGTATGTACCTTAATTTAGGACTTCTCACTTAACCTTCGGCAGAATTGTTTAAAATAAAATAAATGCTGTTGGGTCCTAAATACAGGAGTAACACTGCTTTCCATGAGGCGAAGAATTGTGAAGCTTTGAAACAACAGGTTTAATACTCATGGTGTAGCTCTCATATGAGAAAAATTAATTATTTGCGCAACATTTTTTTTACAATCGTGATCTTTGATTTGGTCGTAAATTTCATTGTTAAGACTTGTTATTAATTTTTAATGCTAGAAAGAGTTGTTTATCGATGTTTCATTTACCTCTCTTATTATACCAATATGTTTAGTTTTAGTTGGAATAAGTATTTCACAGATTTTTAGAGACAAAGTGTAAAAGAAGTATCATTTTGAACAGGTTTACCTGAGAAACCAACCATCACAAACACAGAAACAGAAGTTGACAAGGATCTCATTGTTACCTGGTCAGAAGCTGAGTCCAACAGCAGTAATTGCAGCATTAAATACCGTCTGGAATGTAGGAAACAATTCATGACAGGATCCACAAAAGTCTTTCAACAAGGAAATATTGTTGAAACTCGCCACACGATAACTGGTCTTGAGTATGACACAGAGTACGAAGTGAAACTGTTTGCTGTCAACGAACAAGGAGACAGTGAGCCAGATGTCAGAACATTTAAGACAAAGAGTGGTATGTACCTTTATTTGAGACTTCTCACTTTACTTTTGATAGAATTGTTTGAAATGAGATAAACGTATCAAGAAAAGTGGCTCAACAGTGTTAACAATAGCCTTTGTTTCAGGAGAAAAATGATCCTAAAGCGCCATTTTTGAACAAGGGCGCAACAGCTTCGGAACACATGAGAGATTTGGACATGGTTTGATGCTACTCTGGTGTACAGATTTAATGAATGTAAGCGAAGAAGTTACAATTCATAGACCCAACGTTTCGACACTCCTTTCTAGTGCCTTCATCAGGGGTGATCTAAACGCTGCAACAAGAGTTCCTTTTAAATGATCACTAATTAGCTGCCTTTTTCTTACAAGGTGTAAATAGGCGTCTGGAAGTAAGCCGCCATCGTCACGATTTAAAGGAGCGTGGGCAGAGTTAATATGCCAAGCTTCCAAACAAAGGCGCTGGTGGTAACGCCGATTAGTGGTGATAATTTTAGAATTATCCCACCCAATTGTATGGTTAGTTAGGCATGTGTGCTCCGATAAAGCTGAATTTTCCTTTTTGCAAAAGAAAACCGCTTTTTGATGCTCTTTCGAACGTGTGCCAAACTGACGTTTGGTCTGTCCGATGTATTTGTTGTCACAGTCATTGCAAGGAATAGTATAAATAGCGTCGGTTCGTTGTTCTTTCGTGACAGGATCCTTAGGTTTCACGAAAATATACCCCAAAGTCTGAAAATGTTTTTGAGCAACTTTAACGTGGTGGCTACTCAAAATTCTCTTGATGGGTTCCGTAACACCCTGAATGTAAGGAATAACAGCAAAACCAGTCGCTGGTTCCCTTTCATCAGGAGTGCTACTAGTTGTAACTGGTTTTTGGCAGTTACGGAGAATGGTTTTTGTATAGCCATTTGTCTTTAGGACATTAGAAACATATTTCCTCTCCCTCAGCCTTCGAATCGAGTGAAGATGGTAGACAGTCATCCCTCCTGAGTAAAGTTTTGGCTACAGACTTTTTATGGCAAATAGGTGGTGAGAATCGAAAGCGAGGTATTTGTCGGTGTGGGTAGGTTTACGGTAGACACTTGTCTCTAAAGTACCCTGAACCCCTTTGGACACATTTAAATCAAGAAAGGGCAAATGTCTATCCTTTTCACGCTCAAGGATGAATTGGATAGACGGCTCTTCTGAATTCAAATGCGATAGGAGGCGCTCCGCTTCATTTCCGGATACCGCAGAAATAACATCATCGACATATCGTTTCCAGAAAAAGGGTTTGACCGGTGAAGTGGCTAAGGCCCTTTGTTCCATGTCTTCCATTACCATGTTGGAAATAACAGCAGAGACGGGCGAACCCATAGCTGTACCAAAAACTTGTTGATAGTAGGTGCCGTTATATGCAAATTGCGTGGTTTTGAGGCAAAAAGACAGCAGATGAATAATATCCTCCACAGGCAAAGAAGTTCTTTGTCCTAGGGAAGCATCTTCTCTGAGTCTCTCCTCCGCAACCTTAACGGAAAGATCAAGTGAAGAGCGAAACAACGTCGAAAGATACTAATTCTTCACAAGCATTAAGAGTCTTATCCCTCATGAAATCCTAAAATTCGCAGGAATTTTTGAGTGTAATCAGTATTCCCAAAAACAGGCGACAAAATTTTCGCAAGATAACCAGAAATTGCATAAGTCGGAGTATTAACAAAAGAGACATTGGGTCTCAAAGGAATTCCCGCTTTCTGAATTAAGGTAAGCCATAAAAACGTGGACATAAGCCGTCTTTACTGTAGAAAATTTTGTATGTGGTCACTAATCTTCACTTATGTTCACCACTAATCGACGTTACCACCTGCGCCTTTGTTTGGAAGCTTGACATATTAAGTCCGCCCACGCTCCTCTAAATCGTGACGATGACGGCTTACTTCCTGACGCCTATTTACACCTCGTCAGAAAAAAGGCAGCTAATTAGTGATCATCTAAAAGGACCTCTTGTTGTAGCATTTAGATCACCCCTGATGAAGGCACTTGACAGGAGTGTTGAAACATTGGGTCTATGAATTGTAACTTCTTCGATTACATTCATTAAATCTGTAAACCAGAGTAGCATCAAACCATGTCTCATTGTCCACCTGGTTGCCTTGTGAACTTTTATACATTACATGAGGGATTTGTCGAAGTTTCCGATTAGCATACGAGCGGGAAATTAAAACGCTCGGAAAGACCGAAGGAAAGACATATTCTCCAGGGGTGGATCCAGGATTTTGAGTGAGTAGTTTCCACCCGAGGACCCACTCCTGCTAGGGAGCATGCCCCCCGAGAAAATTTGAAATTTGGAGCTCTCTAAAGGCCATTTCATGCATTTTTAGAAAATTTAATTGCCCCCAAAAGACTAAAAAAGCATGTAATCAAAAAGGCAAAAAACATTTATTTTTCTTGAAAGTACTACAGGAAACACTCTGATCTACAAATATTCCACCTTTAGCTACTGTGCAAACCAGTGTATATAGTGTTTTCAGGAAGGCCAAGTCATCACCAAGACTTTTCACACTGGAAAACATCACCTCCCAGTCAGGAAAATCAAGATGTGGAGAAAAAAAAACGAACCAAGTGTTAGTGTTTTTGATAACAAAAGAAAAACAAGCACAATTGATGATATAGTTTAAAGATTGATAATAAAAATCTACTTGCCTTTTTCATCCTTGGGACCACAGGCTTACCATCCATAAAGCCCTTCTCTCTCTCAAATTTCTTCTGTGTTGTGCTCCTATAATGAATGAAATGAATGAAAGCCAGGCTCAATAAATCCAAATGTTTAGCAACATTAAAAACAACATTTCCTGAGCTGGCTTTTATTCATTTCATTTATAGGAGCACAACACAGAAAAGAATTTGAGAGAGAGAGAAGGGCTTTATGGATGGTTAGCCTGTGTTGGGAGCTGGAATTCAAAAAATAAAACAATTATTAGAAAAATATAAATTATAAGAATCATAAAATGATATACAAATTGAAGTAAAATGATAATTTGAAATAATACTAGCCTTTCTTCATCCTTGGGAATTGCTGTGAAGCTGGTTGAGTTCAGTGAAAATGTTTGTTAACCATTTAAGCTTAACATGAAAACCCAATGTCAATGTCAATGGAAAATCATCACAAGTAAAACAAAATAGAAAATAACCTTGAAATGAGTTGAAAAAAGTTATACAGGCACCAGTTTGAGCTTCTGTACTGTTCTCCATCAGTTTAAGGATTATGAGACTTAAAGGCCATAACCCAGGCAGAACATAACTCACAAGTACTCTAGAAACAGCTGGTGCAAAAAATTATTACAAAATGTTTGCCATTCTCATTCTCCTAGGATGTAACTCAGCAAATAAATCTATTATACGTTCAAGGTCAAAAATCCACGGGCATGCATCAGTGCCAATCCATTCAGTCTGTCCTGGGTCATTGTATTTCTCAAATAGTTCTTAAGATTCCGAAGGGATGATATGGATCTCTCACAAGATGCAGGTGAAATTGGAATTGTGATCAGGACTTTCAGCATGGAATAGATGTTGACATATGCATCTTTGTCAATATCCTTCAGTGTAGCCTCCAAACTGTCAGGAATAATATCTCCTCTGTTATCCCTCCCCTTCCACAATCTCTCCCATAACAAAAGCTCTGCCTGTAATCCTGCATAATTTGGTATGTCCTGTCTGTAATGGTTACAAAATTCCAAAACATTGGCCTTCCAGGCAGGGTCAGTAGCTAGTAAAACAGAGGGAATAATCGAAATACCTTTATAGCAAACAAATACATCATCCTGGAATCTGGTGTTGAGCTGCTGGAGTACATGGTCAAGAAAAACTCTAGTGAGATTGATCTTGAAATATCCCTCAGGAGTTGCAGCAGGAGCATTATTTCTATGCATTTGTCTCTGGGCTATCCTTGGCATTTCTGGCTGGACTGCTACTTGTCTTGCAATGGTCACTGCTTCCTGGTAGAGATTATGATGTCTGTTATCAATGTCAGTGCTCATGTCCTCAAGGACTGATTTCAAAAGAGCAAGTTCATCTTTAGCTTTTAGAAGATCCATTGCTTTTTGTTGCAGCTTCACTGTGAGTGGTCTAGTTGAAAAGGGACTTTAGAATCTCCCGATTTCTCGCGATTTGCTGTTGAACTATGTTATTTAACTGCTGGTCAATTGGGACAGCTCCTCTTTGCATCATTCTCTTGAAATCATTCATAGCAGTCATAGAAAAATTGTGAATTTCACAATTTTCTAGCGAGTGTTTGGTTAAGCGAGAAGCGGCCGAAGTCCAATTTGTGAGAGGAGACTTCAATAATTTGTCTAACTTATTAGCGTTTCGCCCACACTGAACTCCAAAACAAACACAAGCTAAACAAAATGCTCCATCGAAATATTTGGAGTAAGCTAGCCATGGAAATCTTTTCAGCCAGCCCGAGACAAACTTACGAGATTTTCCATTTTCCATTGACACGGGGAAATCAAAAAGCTCACCTGGTTTCCACACGTTTTCGACGAACTCCAGCTTCTGATGCGGCGAGTAGTTGTGGATCTCGTCGAAAACTAGGCCAATGTCGAAGGGAGAACAATCCTCCCTCCGACAAACAGGATCTCCGCGAGTCATAACACTAGTATTTTTTAAACGTTTTAACAGTAAATTCCGTCGTTAACCCCTGAGCAAGTTCAAAAGTACTTGTATTGTAGGAGCAACGAAAGAGACCCGCTGGGGGAGGAACTGCCCTTTTTATACTTTGTCAGTAGTTTCCAAGGTAGTTTCCAAACACAACTAGCCAATCAGAAGAGTGTTTTGAGTGAGTTCCGATGACGAAATCTTTGCTAGCCAATCGTGAGGGGTTTTGACTGTGTTCCGCCTGTTATTGTCACCAAATAACAAGGACTTACACCCACCGGTTGCGTAAAGATTGGCTCCACGAACATTTTCCGACGGCTTCCGACGGTTTCCGAGGTGTAATCGAAGCTCGAAAGGCCAGCGCGTGATCCGGAGCGCTCCCGAACGCCTCATGACCGCAATTATAACGAAATTAGTCATTCTAAACGTATTTTCTTTAATAAATAACTGTAAAACAGGAAGATGGTTTATTTCTGGAAGACGTTTAGTGATTTCCACAAAAGTATCAGTAGTTTCCAAAGGGAAATTAGAGTGTTTTCCAAAAGTACTTTTATCAACATTTAACTAGGTCGGAAAAAATTTGAGTGAGTTCCGGAAATCAGGTAAACTACCCTGGATCCACCCCTGTTCTCTCTGGGGAGAGTTGATACTGGTAGAATGCGTTCGATGCAAATAACGATGGTGCGGGGCGACGGGTAGGGGCGACGGTTGCATAAAGGTGAACAATATTAAAACATAGAAGGCGGTTGCTTACAACTATGATATCGCCACTGTTTGCTTTTATCTTGCTTTAAACTGGCCAAATATATATCTAACTATTTATCCAGAGACGCACTACGCTAGGCACTGACGATGAGAGCATGCATTCAGCCAAGGAAGCGAGGCGTTCGCCATGCAGTCATAAACTAAGAGGTGTCCCTCTCTATTCTTCCCGATCATGATTTGCCAGGCAGACAGCAAAAAGAATATTTGAGAGGAGAGAATAGCAGCGAGAAAGTTGGAGGGGGAAACATTCACTTTCTCGCTCGACGAACTATCGAATCACGACTCGCTGCTTTCAGATTTATCTTTCATAGTATGAGAGCAGTTCAAATCTCGCGCGCGCTACGCAAGTCAGACTTGATTCTTTGTGTGCATAATGAGTAGTGGAGTCCAATTTGGTCTGTAATCATACGAGTAATAACAAAATCGGACGACCGCGCAGCGGAAGTTGGATTTGTTTATCGCGAGTATGATAGGCAAACTGTCCGATAAAAAATTGTGCGATTTGGCAAAAAAAGTACGCAGAGGTTAAAAATACATCAAAAACGTCAAAAGAACGCGAATCTTTGACAATCGCAAAAAAGTTTAATTTTGAAACTCCCGCGAAAATAGGAAATCATTAGGTACGAGCAGTCATTCGTGCGACAAGAATACTGGAGAGCGGAACTGCTTGAAAATCTTGAGGTGGCCACTTTCCGACCACCATTGGTTTTTGACTCGTGAATTGCGCGCAAGAGCGAGTTGTAGATATCATGTGGAGAATGGCACTCGCTCGCTCGCTCGCTCGATTGGTCGATTCCTGTAAACTTTTTTTCGATTTTAGGCTTTTGAGTGCATTTGATAGTTTTTGCGCGCGTAATAAACAAACGAATGGCGACCTTTGTTGCTAAGAATAGTGGTGGGGTGAAAAAGAAGCCAATGATAGTCTTAAAAGAGTTTATTTTTTTCGTTTTAGTTTCAACAAGCGGCGCCAGCGACTAGCAGGCGTGCGAGGATTCACACTGGAATAAGAGAAAAACCTTCGTTTTTGATAAAATTGTAATTTACAATCCTTGAAATTGAAAACAATCCGAAGATTCGTTAAAAACATCACTTACTCCGAAGCGCTCGGAGTTTACAGGTGTTTTAAAGCTTTTTTGTTATGGTGTGAGATTGGGGACAAAATCGATCATTACATTTCGTATCGTGTGTTTTTCTGTGAGAAGCAAAGAAAGGTGCCGGCGACTGACGAAATTACAGGTTAACACGAAAATCAAATAGCACTTAAACAAATAATTTTGGCTAACGATCTTCAGCGAATTTTTAAAGGACAATTTCTTTTAAGTTTCAAGACGATTTGAAGATTCAAAATAAATATTACGTACTAAAATGCGAAAGTTATACACCACAAAATTGATAAATAGGCCTGGAATGAAATTCTATCTTGTTCTTGATTATACGTTGCCTAGCACATGACCAAAATCTACCAAGGCGGAAATCCAAAATGACGGTGGCAGTAAAATTCGTTCCCGTTTGTCTCATTTGATAAAGAGGGAATCATTAATGTTTTCATTAAGAAAGCATTGCCTTGATTTTCCAATTTTTACAATGATAGACAGTAAATTTCACTTTTCACCCACATTTGAACCAGAAACAAAAATGATAAATGTTTAAAACACATTATCCACCATTGTCAAATGTAATAGCATGATCTTTTTAGTTGTAATGCCTTCTTATCCCAACGTCACTTTGTTTCTTTGCTACATTAGCGAACACTGAACTACTGCTCGTACTCTAAATATGACGATCAACCACAAAATTTCCTAAACTAGATAACATTAAACATGATACAAAAAATCATGTAAGGAATCTGTCAATTCACGAGTTTGCTCACAGGGAACTTTGATTACTTTTTCGCTCGACGGACTATCGAATTACGAATCCGCAGCTCTCAGGTTATTTATCTACCAAAGAAAAGAAGCATTCAAATATCGCGCGTGCTAAAAAATTCTTAGTGTGCGTCTTGAGTAAAATGAGTTAGAATAAGATGCATGCGGTTATTTTACATTTCCTGAGGAAAAGACTGTTGGAAAAACCTCCCACTTCATCGCAGGCGAGCCCCCGGTTTTCTGCAGCAATTTTGATGAAACCGCGTGACAAAGAAGGCAGAAAGGCGTTGTTTGGTTTCCATTTATTTGTTCGTAGTCTTGCTACGAGTTTCTCAGACTACGGCTCCGATGATATGAATATTTATCTCCCGAGTAATTTATTTACGACAGAGTTTCACTGTCAGACACCCCTAAAGCCGAACAAACAGAGTAGGTTTATCTGAATTCATAATCTAAATGGTTTTTAATCAGTAAGCATGAATCATTCACTAAAAGCTTTTTGCATCGTCCAAGTAATTTCTTTGCCAACGGTATCGCACTCATTCACTTATTTAAATCCAGTGCCGAATACTAGGGAGGCACTACAATTTTCAATCCATTCATTAGATTTCTTACTTATTTTGCTACTGCTAGGTATTTTTGATCCAACTGAGCTTATCAATGGAATTCGCCAGCTGTACAAGACTCGCGAGGGATGGCTCTCACCATTTCCATGGTGTGAAGAGTTTCAGTTTTTTCTCGGCAATATTTTTACAAGGCTCAAAGTGGTCAGAAGAAAGAAAACGAGAGGAGAAATCACTGACGTATTTGTTGAGATGTCGTCAATACTAGACCCGTATGAAGAGTGTTCAGCGCCGAGAACAGTGTTGATTGAAGGAGAACCTGGTATGGGAAAAACCACCTATTGTAAAAAGTACGCTTACGACTGGGCCACAAAACAGAGAGAGCCTCAGGGCTGCGGCTCAACAGCATTTAAAGTGGTATTATTGCTGAAATGTCGAGATATCCATTCTGACGTTTGGGAAGCCATTGATGATCAGCTGCTGCCCCGAGACATCGATGAAGAAGTCAAACAACAATTCTTTCAGTTTATTCGTGAAAATCAGTCCAGCATTTTATTGATATTGGATGGATTGGATGAGTTACCATCCGGCAAATTGTCGATGTTTTCCGAATTAATTGAAGGAAAAGTACTCCCCAGATGCCACATAGTTGCAACAGCAAGACACGAAGCTGGAAAAGAGGTGAGAAAATGTTGTGACGTGCTGCTTCAGATCGAAGGATTTACTGAAGAGCATGTGATAGAATTTGTCACCAAGTACTTTAAAGAAAGGACGGATTTAGCCACCAAGCTCTCGCAACGGATGTCGCGAGATAAAAACCTGACAGAAATAGCGGCCAATCCTCTAAACACAGCACTTCTTTGCCTTTTATGCGAAGAGGTTAAGGGAAAACTCCCCGAAAGCAGAGCTCAACTGTACTTGGATATGGTTGAATGTGTTTTGAGAAGATATAGAAAAAAGAAGGGACTATTAAAAAAGATCGAAGACCTGACAAACCATTACAAACCGCAATTGAATCACCTTGGAAAGGTAGCGTTTAATGGTTTACTTGACGATAAGCTGGATTTTAATGAAAGTGAATTGGGAAACCATGCAAAAGACCTGACTGAATTTGGACTTCTGTCAGCGCAGCCTGGTGGCAGCAAACTGAGACAAACACCGCATTATGCCTTCTTACATAAAAGTTTTCAAGAATTCTTTGCAGCATTCTTCATTTGTTCTCAGATTCAAAGCAAAGAAATAAAACCTGAGGAACTAGTTTCCGATCCAAGGTATTTCGTTGAACTTAAACAAATATTTTTGTTTTCATGTGGAATTTTGGCCATGAAATGCGATGAACAAGTTGTGGCTCTTGTAAAGAGTTTAACAAATGAAGTCAACAAAAATAAAGGCCTTGGTGCAAAAATTGTATTGGAGGCCATCAACGAATGTAAAAGAGAAAAAAGCGATTTTCACTTGCATTTATCGAAGTCGTTTGGAACTGGTTTGAATCTGACCAATTTGTATTTGTGGGATAATGGTATTAGTGATGCAGGTGCTACATGTATTGCTGAGGCAATGAAAGTGAACAAGAAGCTAACCAATTTGGATTTGTCTTTCAATGATATTAGTGCTGCGGCTGCTACATGTATTGCTGAGGCAATGAAAGTGAACAAGACGCTAACCAATTTGTATTTGCGAAACAATGGTATTAGTGCTGCGGGTCCTACATGTATTGCTGAGGCAATGAAAGTGAACAAGACGCTAACCAATTTGGATTTGCGAAACAATGGTATTAGTGATGCGGGTGCTACATGTATTGCTGAGGCAATGAAAGTGAACAAGACGCTAACCAATTTGGATTTGCGAAACAATGGTATTAGTGATGCGGGTGCTACATGTATTGCTGAGGCAATGAAAGTGAACAAGACGCTAACCAATTTGGATTTGTCTGGGAATGGTATTAGTGCTGCAGGTGCTACATGTATTGCTGAGGCAATGAAAGTGAACAAGACGCTAACCAATTTGTATTTGTCTTTCAATGGTATTAGTGCTGCGGGTGCTACATGTATTGCTGAGGCAATGAAAGTGAACAAGACGCTAACCAATTTGGATTTGCAAAACAATGGTATTAGTGCTGCGGGTGCTACATGTATTGCTGAGGCAATGAAAGTGAACAAGACGCTAACCAATTTGGATTTGTCTGAGAATGATATTTGTGATGCGGGTGCTACATGTATTGCTGAGGCAATGAAAGTGAACAAGACGCTAACCAATTTGGATATGTCTGGGAATGGTATTAGTGATGCGGGTGCTACATGTATTGCTGAGGCAATGAAAGTGAACAAGACGCTAACCAATTTGGATTTGCGAAGCAATGGTATAAGTGCTGTGGGTGCTACATGTATTGCTGAGGCAATGAAAGTAAACAAGACGCTAACCAATTTG